AAGTTTGTTCGTCTAGAACCGTTTTAAGTGCTCGATCGGCGATAAAAGTGGTTAAAGACGCACGTCGTGTCACGAGCTAAACTCGTAATCAAAGTAAACGCGGAGGAAGCTCGAAGCCGTAGGTGTTTACCAGCAAGTCATTCAAGCATTTCACTATCGATCACGGCTGAAAGCGTTTCCGATGCATAACTAGAGCAGCTACATAATCCGCCGGACGGAAAAGAGATTCACGCGGCGGTGGTGACGGCGGCGGCATTGGCGGCCCGCGCGGGAACTGATTGGGCGAAACAGTCGATCCGATGGCGGGCTAATTTCTCGTTTTCATAAAGGGAAAAGAGCACGTGAGAGGCATGATAGGTAGCGAGAAGAATGGGCGACGGGTTCGAAGGTCGAGGAAAGGAGTGGGAGCGGTTTGGAGAGTGAAGAGAAAGAAGGGAAGGAAGGAAGGACTATCTGCTTGGTTCGCGAGAGACTGAAGAAGCGCGCAAGCGCGTTCGCTGATGCGAAGAGGAGCCTGGCGGAGTGAGAAAAGAAGCGGGAAAGACAAAGAGTGGGAGCAGTCGGGCCGTGGGAGGGCAGAGAAAAGCGAAAGATAAAGTTTCAGTCGGTGATAAAGAAAGACGGAAGAATCGTGGGGAACGGGATAGAAATTGTGGAGTGACACGGTGGACACAGGAGGAAAAAGCTCACGGCAGGACGAACAGAAGGAACGGAAACAGGGGCAAAGAGACGGGAGGAGGTCGTCAAAGGCAGGAGGAGAAGAAAACGGTAGATGGAAAAAGAGAAGCATGTTAGGGGTCTGCTCGGCTCTCGCGCCATTCTTACGTATTACGTACACGAGCACGAGCTGAGCCTTGTATTACACTATTACCGTGACAAAGAAGCCCTCTATTCAGCTTCATCCGAGCGACGAGGATGCGAATAAAGAAGCATAGTGCGGTTGGGATTTTCGCGTGTGCGTTCGTACGTGTGCACACTACGGTACGGGGGATAGACGTATGTACGCGCGCTCTCGCAACTGAACGCGCAAGGACGAGAAAGGAAAGATCAAAAATAGAGAAAGAGAAAAGGAGAGCGCTGAAGGAAAGTGGCAGAGAGG